CGTCTCTGAGTTGACCCAGGTGTTACCACTGTGATTTTGTATCTTTTCTTGTGCATGTCGCTTGCTGTCTGCCAGGGTGAGCCAGATTTTTTTTTTCCCCTGAGACTATCGACTTCAGATGCACTGAATGCCCTGCGCTGAATTCCCATTAGATCCTACCAATTCATACCAATTCCTTCGACGGTTTGGATATTGATGACTTAGGCTACTTGCATCTGGGCAACTGAAGTTGGCCAAAAAAATCGAACGCCTCAAACATGGCTGGAAGCCAGCTCTGAGTCCACTGGATTCGCCCGGGGCGACTCCGTCAACTTTCCTGACTCCCTTGACTTTGCCACCCGAAGTGGAAGTGGTCTTAGTGTCCGATGCTGCCACCTTGGAGAGCGCTTGCCGACGGGCGAAGCAAGGAGGTGTTGTGGGTGCCTCGGAATCAAAGCTTTGTCGAGGCACTACCAATTATTAGTTGCAACCTAGCCGATTCCGTATGTCGGTAATAGACACTTCTCACCGAACCAACCTGAACCAAAACTATCCATGTATTTACACTCGCAGTAAAGTGACTTCAAAGTCGGTTCCACCATTTCATGTGCTGGAGTATGTTGCCTATTTTTTGCGCCACTTTTCAGACGCTGAGTGTTTTCTCTGGACGACATATTTGATCGGCATTATTCAGCAACTACTGTGACGCGTTTGATGTTGAAATGAGAGGCACCTGCATCACTGCCCTTGGCCATACTTTATCCGCTAAACCATGTCAATGCCATGTCAAACACAAGGTTTGGATGCTGAGTGGAAACCGGAAGAACGGCGCAGGGATGGTCGACAGGATCGCCAGGATGTAGTGAATCCTGTTCAGCCTCTTGGCAAGACAACAGGTTTGAACGCACCAATATACTACAACACTCAGAACTTCGACTATGGGTTGACAATGCAATCATCATAGATTGAAGTTGGTGAGAAAATGGCGTAGCTAACAGCACAATTGAGCAATATTGAGCAGGCCTTCCAAGTCGCCACTCTTATCTTTCAATCTTGCTTGAGCATCTTGAGCTTACTTGGGTTATGCTATGGTTATGCCGCGGTACTTGTTGTATCTGGTTGTACTGTCAGCATCTCAGCTTGGTCGCCTAAGGCTGCTGCAGCTTGCTTGGACTGATGTGGTCTACCTGCATCTTGATGGCACAGGGCAAGATGGAAGATTAAGTGATTGAAGTCTTTGTAACGATGCTGTTGGATTCCACAGGCTTTCAGCTCTGGTAGCCTTGAGTCGAAGCAAATAAGCTAATTGTATAAACTTGCCACGATCATTTCCAGTCAACTGCTCATAGTCTCCAAGCTTGGAAGAAATTGCTGGTGCCAGGTTGGACATTCCATTGCTGAGAATGGAACCAAAACTCCTGGAGCTGTGCGATGAATTGTGCCACTTGATACATCAGTCAACGGGAACGAATCAGAATGAGTGCAGATACCGGTTTCGGATGTGTCGGGGACGGATGACAAGCAGGGCTCAACATGCGATGATCATATGCGACCAGCTGGCATTGAGGTGGTGACCGCTGCGTGCTTGTGGGTTTTGGCTTGGAAGGCGACTTGCGAAGATTGGCAGTCTCCATGATTGCATTCATTGCTGTTCCCATGGCTGGCTTGGCTTGTGGTAACATGTGGTAATAAGTCTTCCTCCTTCGCTCAATGTCCATTTTTGGGTTTCTAACAAGCAATGAAAGAGGTGGATCATTGAAGGCAATCTTTGGCGCAGTCATCCCCAGTCATCCCATGTCATCCCATCCAAGAGATTTAGATTTGGAAGCAGTTCATGAAAAAAATGCGGCAAGGAATGTCTTAAACGTGACGCACCTGTGAATGCTCAGGACTCTTACCCTCAGCTGCTGTCAGCTTGGTCTTCTGCTTCTTTTTATCACATAGATATGTCTGACCTCTCGCCACGCGAAGTGACTTCTTTGGATCTTTGGCAGCAAGAATTCCGTTGATCAAAAAGTTTTGTTGGGGTTGTATGTTGCATTTGTGTCTAGAACCAATTGGTTGACATGGTGTGTCAGATTAGATTGATTGAATTCGATGAGGTTTCTTAAACATGACATGGGACTTCAATGGGATGGTGCGCAGATGGTGCGCAGCATGCCCGAGCCATGCTAATTTCGTCCGTTTGACAGTTTGAGAAATTCGAGAGAGAGAGAGAGAGTGGAGTGCATTTGCTTCCTAGCAGAAACGAGACAAATGTCTAATTGAAGAGTCTTGCATAGTCTTGCCTTCAATGAAGTCAGAGATCAGAACCAGAGTTTAGTTTGGAGGTTTTGGAGACGTTTTTGGTTGCAGTTCACATTTTGCCGAAAGGACCACTGAGCTGTCCCAGTGCCATTTGCTACATACAAGTTGCACATTGTCCGAGTTGCTAAGATTTGCTAAGGACGGCTTTTGTGCATTCTGCTTGGGCCAAGCACTGGACAAGACGCAGCAGTGCAGCCGTTGGGATTTGCGACCCTTCAGCGATCAGCAGTTGAACTATGCAGCATTGGATGCCTGGATACTCTTGGCATTGCTCGGGCACATCAGCAAGGCAGGCAGCAAGGCATGCCACATCCTGCCACACTTCACAAAAGGTGGCAGGATGCGTAAGATTGCGTAAGCCAGCTGAGCTTTCCGTCTCTAGCACGTGTTCATATGTGTTCTGTTTCTGTAGGGGCAAGGGTCACAGGAAGAACTTGTTCCAATTATGGAGGAGATTCTTTATCTCCCCCCAAATGGTCAGAGGTTGATTTCCCTTTGTACCCGCGCATTTTTCTCATGGTTTCTGCTATTTTGTTTTCGTTTTTTTTGCCAATGGTGGCTTATATTTTGGGAGCGCTTTTTGTACACATCATTGCCCGAGTCATAGTCATCATAATCCTCATCCCCATCCTCATCCTCCTCATCCTCCTCATCCTCCTCACCATCCTCGCCATCAGCACTCTCGGTCCCTTCACGCGTCATTATCCGTACTTCTTGTCTTTTGCCACAAACCTTTTGCGGCTCCCATGCGACTCCCCATTGTTCCATGTGCTCATGGTTTTGTTGGCCTTGTGCGCCCGGCGCCCCCTGACAGCATGGCGATGGGCCCGAGCAGAAAAAATATGCCTTTTTTGGCATATTTTGGCATATTTTGGCATTCTTGTCAGTTTTTGGTTTGATTTTCATCCGCATCCTGCCTGAACTCGTCGCGATTCTTTGATTTGATTTTGGATCTGAGAGATCCTGAAGTTGCCACACGTTTTCAACCCCATCGCCAATCGCAATGTTCATGGGCTCTCTCTCTCTCTCTGTCAAGTGCCATTTGTTTTCCAGCCAAGACTTTACCGGGAATACATTCTTTCGTTCTCCTGTGCTTACTCTCAAGTCTGCCCAAGTCTAGTGTAAATAAGTGTTACACATTAACAATGTATAACATATGTATCAATATCAATATCCTTTATTTTCAGAGCAGGGGGTCATAATTTTCCCTGCTAGGTTTGTTGTGATGGGGTGTTTGTTTTCTAGATTGCGCGGCATGAAGACAGAAGAAGCAAACCAAGTTGTTTATCCGGTTGCCCTTCGAGAATCAGTTGCTTGGTAAGAGTGCAGTAAAAGGCTACTGCGCTTGTTCAATTTTTGTCAGTGTGACTGCGCTGAATGTGAAGTATGCTTTTCCTTTTGACGGACAGGGTGCACCATTCGAGCAGCTACACCAACTTGCAGCTTTTTCAGTTACAGATGCGTTGAAGACACTTGGACAAAGGAACCGATAAAGCTGGGGCAGTATCACAGATGCCACTGATGAAAGATGAAGTGTGAAAGGGTATGGCTTGAGAATAAGCGGATGAAATCGGATGAATTTTGGTACATTTTGGCAGGTTTCTGTGTCAGAGTTATCTAGGTTTTGCAATGAAAGTCCCAGGTTTGCTCGCAGAGGTTGTGCTGGCCTTGATCGAGGCAAGAAACCAGTCGAAAACTTTGGCCGGAAGCTGCAACTCCCAAACTTGATGTGTCCTCCAGTGATGACAGTGATGTCATCGCGGCATATCGCGGCATTGCAGTTCACTTCTCTTTGGGTTGACATCGCGTCTTGGTTCTTGGATGTTCTTGGCAGGTGTTTGTGCAGTGGCTGCCATGCTTAAACTTCTGGGTGCTGAGAGCGCTCTGTGCCGCAGCTCCGACTGCGGGGTGGCTTAGAGATAGCACAAGTGATAGAGATATGGCAGAACAGGTTTGGTTTATTGTGATTTCAGGTTTGTGTTTTGCTTTCAAGATGGCTCTTTGTGATTGAAACCGCCCCTAGGGCATGGTATAATAACTTTCCGTGACTTGTCAGCCCAGTCTTAGGTCCTGGAGACGTGGCAGTTTGCAAAACGGTGGCGTGCACAGTCTTTTCTGCTTCAGGCGGGAAGCCATTGATTGTTGTTTTTTGATGTTATTCGCGGATCCTTCTGAAATCTTTGGAGTTGGCCTCTTGTATAGTTCTTATCCGCTTCTTGGGCTGGAGATGGTTGGAGACTAAGTGGCTATGCTTCGAGGCGAACCATCCTTTTGCATGGTCGTTATGGCAGACGGTGATGGAACAGTGAGTTGGGGGCCTCAGACCTTGTTTCCTTGTCCTCGACGTTTGTTGAGTCTGTCAATCGACCGCATCATGCTTCTCACGTTAAACCAGGTTAAATATGTTAAACCACTAAAGATCTAAAAGCTTCTTGTATCGGTTTGACTTGGCGGCTTCATAATTAGTTCGAAAGTTGAGGCTTGGAACGCTTAGCTGCTGCGGTGAACTGTACATCTGCAAGGTTGACCAGCAGTGAGGAGACTAAGAGTTTCCTGTCTACCTATGACCCATCATGTTAGATAAAAGATCTTCAATAAACTTAGATAAAAGCGCATGAGGCTGGGCAGATCCTCACGTTTTGCATCGTTTTGCAAGATCATTGAAGATCTCGGAGCATCTCAGAGCATCTCCGAGCATTGTTTTCTCTGAACCACAATGCGCAGATACTTCTTTACAAAGTCTATGCGTTGTGCAAAATTATATCACATATATATATATATATATTTTTATTTATTTATCATCAAATCATTAAATGTTACAGCAATGCTACATATATCCTTGGACCTTTTGTTTGGATGTGTGCTGCATCGTTGGTTTGTGAAGGAGCTGCGTGAAGAGATCCGACAGCCAAGAGGATCTGTTGGACCTGTGGGTCCTGTGCTAAAGCGCCTCAGCTTTCGATTTCTGATCAGAAAGTAGGCAATGACTAGGTATTGCATGGTATTACTAGGTCTAAGATGATCTAAATGGGTATTTGCTCCTTTGTTGAATCACAATGAAATGTGTCCTCTCTAACTTTTGCAAGTTTGGAGGCTCGGATCAGATAATATCAGATACTTGAGATGAAATCATTGAGGTCTGCTTCTGCGCGCATAGTCCTGGACGACTCGTTGATGGGATCCAAAGTGCTCTCATGCGGTGCCGGAACATCTGGATGGCAGCTGCTGGTGACACCAAACCAGTTGCAGGACTCTGATGATATCTGATGATGTTCTTTAATGTTCTTTGATGTTCTTTGATGTTCTTTACTGTTCTTTACTGTTCTTTGGACCACTTTCATGAAGGGAGCAGTCTTTAATCATCTTTGACCTCATAAATCTTAGGAGAGCTCCAGAAGTGCAGTGGGGAATCTAAATGACTTTGTGCTTTGTTGCAACAAACCAAACGTGTCGGATGCAAGATGATGTAGGAATGCGGGCATCCATGTGCATGCCATTCATCGCCATCATGCTGTGTTTGGATGGTAGGAGTGGACACCTTGCATCGTTTCTGCCATCAAGGAGATTGACTGATTAGTCTTGTTTGGTCGAGAGCGGAGCATCATGGTCCGCACTATGGCGCCGACAGATGGAATGAGCCAACCACAACTGGAAAGCTAATCAAGCTGAAGATTTGGAAGTTCCAATCAAGCTGTCCTCATGACTGAACCCACCAAGTTCTTGTAGGTAGGTAGGCAGCGACCTGGGACTCGGGCACGATCTGAAGTGAGAAGTCGAAGAGAACAGCTGAGTCAAAAAAGGCTGCAGATTTGGTACTTTGACTATGATGATACCTTTCGTCTCAAGCCATGGGTCTTCAGGGTAGGCACATGGCATGATATGGTATGATTCACGGTATGGTGCAAGATGTGACAAGAATTTTCTCATACAATTCGTTTATTTGATTTATATTCAGAAGATCACCCACACAGATAGATAGATGGATGGATGGATGGATCGATAGATAGATAGAAAGATTGAAAGATAGATAGATACACAGACAGACAGATAGACAGACAGATAGATTAATTAGATCAATTAGATTAGATAGATTAGATCAGATAGATTAGATTAGATAGATCAGACTGGATAGATTCGATAAGATTGGCTAAGGTTAGATAAGATAGATAAGCCTAGATAAGACAAGATTAGATTAGATAAGATTAGATAAGACTAGATAAGATTAGATAAGACCAGATAAGATAGATAAGGTAGATAAGATAGATAGATTCGATAGATTCGATAGATTTGATAGATTTGATAGATTAGACAGATCGACCGGCCGATCCATCAGTCGATAGATAGATAGATTTGATAGATAAGATAGATGATAAGATAGAAGGTAGATAGCATAGATAGACAGATTAGATAGGCAGATTTGATAGATTAGATAGATAAGATAGATGACGTAGATAGATAGATAGATAGATAGATAGATAGATAGATAGATAGATAGATAGATAGATAGATAGGTAATTAGATGAAAGAGAGAGAGAGAGATAGATAGATAGATAGGTAGACAGATAGATAGATAGATAGATAGACAGATGGGTAGATAGATAGATAGGTAGATAGATAGATAGAAAGATAGAAAGATAGCTAGATAGATAGACAGATAGACAGATAGACAGATAGACAGATAGATAGATATCGGTAGATATCGACAGATATCGATAGATATCGATAGATATCGATAGATATATCGATAGATATATCGATAGATATATCGGTAGATATATCGATAGATATATCGATAGATATATCGATAGATATATCGATAGAGATATCGATAGAGATATCGATAGAGATATCGATAGAGATATCGATAGAGATATCGATAGAGATATCGATAGAGATATCGATAGAGATATCGATAGAGATATCGATAGAGATATCGATAGATATATCGATAGAGATATCGATAGATATATCGATAGAGATATCGATAGATATATCGATAGATATATCGATAGATATATCGATAGATATATCGATAGATATATCGATAGATATCGATAGATATCGATAGATATCGATAGATAGATAGATAGATAGCTAGCTAGATAGATAGATAGATAGCTTAGATAGATAGATAGATAGATAGATAGATAGATAGATAGATAGATAGATAGATAGATTAGCTAAACCCAAAAGGGCGCTGCGGCCTATTTTTGAAGATATTTAGACGTATTGAACGTGGGGGGGCGTACGGCCATCTGAACGAGGGTACGGCGGGGGTGCGAACGTGCGAACGGGGGGCGAACGGGGGGGCGAACGGGGGGGCGAACGTGGGGGCGAACGTGGGCGAATGCACGCACGTACATACGCCGTACGTGCACGCACACACACATGCACACACGTACGCAATCCCCTTTGGAATAACCCTCTCTAAAATGGGGGACCCCGGGGTCCCACTAAACCTTTTTTTTAAGACAAAATTTAGCGATGTTTTTTTCCAGGGGGGTGGGACTTTCATTTTATAGTGATCCCAGGGGGCCCGGAGGATTTTGATGTTATAATTATAATATTAAATTTGATTTTATAGCGATCCCCTTTTTGGCATGACACTCATGTATGGGGGTTGGGTGTTCCCATTCTATAGAGTCAGGAGGTTTCAGGAAATCATTCCTTTTGGGAGTTGGTAGCCTCCATTTTATAGTGATCATGGGTTGTAGTTGCATTGCTCAGTCTTCGCGTGCCGTTTCCTGCTATAGCATGGATGGCAATGGGAACCTGGGGGAGTGTTCCCAAACCAGAGAAATGTAAGAATGGAAGAGAATGGAATAGAGTGGACAGACAAAGCCAGCTTTCTCCATCCTACCCCAAAATACCCAGCTGGCCCAAAATACCCAGCTTTGTCGATACCCCTAAATGCCGAGCTTGGAGAAATCCTTTGGCTTCGGGACATGACAACATGGGACCACTATAAAATGGAAAACTTTTTCCAGCTTGCCCCAAAATACGCAACTGTCCCAAAATACCAATTTTTGTCGATACCACAAAATACCAAGCTTGGAATCTTTTTGTCGACATCCCTTGGCTTTTGGGACATGGGACAGCATGGGACCACTATAAAATGGAAAACTATCTCCATCCCACCCAAAAAAAATATCCAGCTGCCCCAAAATACCCAGCTCCGTCGATACCAGTCTTTTTGTCGACATCCCTTGGCTTTTGGGACACGGGACAGCATGGGACCAATGGAAAACTACCAGAAAATAAGTTTTGGTCTTTGTGTCGGCAGCTAAAGAAAAATGTGGTGTCTTTGGGGCGATGATGGTGGGAGGATGTGGGAAGGCTGCGGCACTATAAAATGGAAACCCCCAACCCCCAGAAAATCCTACCAGGAAGGGCCTTTAATTTCTATAAAATCAGAGCACCCAACCCCTCAAGAAACCATTCATTTTTGGATGTTGTAAAATTGAAGCTATATACAGGGGGTTGGGGGTTCCCATTCTATAGTAAAAAGCTGGCTAGTTCCTTCATTTTAAAGCTAGGCTCCAGGGTACGTTGGGGCCTCCCATTTTATAATGATGGAGGGTTTTGCAGTAAATTTGTAGCTGTAAATATTTGCTTTTTCAAATGAATTTCTTATTTTATAGAGGTGCACCTGTTTTGTGACCCTGGGTGTTTCCATTTTGTAGAGGTCCCACTCCGGGGGGGATGGGTGCCCCCGTTTTAGTACTATAAAATGGGGGCACCCAACCCCCCGACTTGATCTAGTAGGGGATCGTACGCACATACGTACGCACAGACGTACGCACGTACGTTCGCACGTATGCACGTACGTACGTACGTACCATGTTCAGACCCATGTTCAAGCCCATGTTCAGACCCATGTTCAGAAATAAGGTTACCTTTGAAAAGTGACCCCCTAATACTAAATATGCTTTAGGAGGCTTAGGGTCGTACAGAAATAAGGTTACCTTTTATATAAAAGGTAACCTTAAAGGTAACCTTATTTCTGAACATGCATGTGAACGTGCGTGCGTACATGCACATGAACGTGCGTGCGTGCATGCGTACGTACGTGCGTACATGCGTATGTGCGACCCCTTCGTGCGACCCCTTCATGCGTCCTCCACCCTTACCTCCACGTTCGATCCCTCGTTCGCCCACACCCCTCGTTCGCCCGTCCGCTCGCCCCCCCGCTCGCGGCTGATGGTTCGCTTGTGGCGGTAAGATGTGCCAATCGCTTGTGGCAGTAAAAACCTTTATTTTTTACTGCCGCAAGTGATTTTTATTTACTGCCACAGGTGATTGCTGTTTTTGCGTGGCAGGTGCAGCATTTGAAGGCCTAATCGCTTGTGGCGGTAAGATCGCTTTTCCGTTTTCAATCGCTTGTGGCGGTAAAAAATCTATCGCTTGTGGCGGTAAGTGAGTGTCTTTGATGCCAGGGTATACAAAACCAATCGCTTGTGGCAGTAAGCGGCTGGGACTTGGGATTTGCACTTGGCAGTTGCTTTTGGAAAAGGCTTACCTTTCTTCTCTCGGCTCTATAGGATCAGCTCTGGAAAATGTTGCTGCAATTGTGAACCCTGAGAACAAACCTACTAAAGTGAATTGGATCATCTCATGGCCCAGTGTTTTTGAAATGTCTGGAAAAATGTTCTTTAATAAGGGTTCACTAAGCGATTTGATGTTTTGGGGAACGGCAGACAAGCACGATTTTAGATGGTTAATATGAAACAATTTACACTAAGGCAGGTCCCATGTGAGTGTTCCTAAAAAGAACCATAGTTTATGTTACGATTAATATCTACTCATTGTGAAAATTTATGTTTTCATAACCAGATGGCCCTAACATCCCCAGTGTGAGTAATACGAATGGGATATTAGTGGGCTCTTCGGGATTCATCGTTGGTATTTTCAAATCTTGGGGACGTGGGTCCAGCTATTAAGTGGCTTGAATAGCATCGTTGTGGCTGGTAGATCCTACCCTTTTCTTCCCTAGCCCCACCCCACCCCCCAAGGTTGAAGTGGGATGGTAAGTCTCAGGAAGTGGAGAAGCGGTTCCCTATAATGAATGTAAGCAACGGTTGTGGCTGGTAGATCCTACCCTTTTCTTCCTTAGCCCCACCCCACCCCCAAGGTTGAAGTGGGATGGTAAGTCTCAGGAAGTGGAGAAGCGGTTCCCTTTAATGAATGTAAGCAACGGTTGTGGCTGGTAGATCCTACCCTTTTTTTCCGTAGCCCCACCCCACCCCCAAGGTTGAAGTGGGATAGTAAGTCCCAGGAAGTGGAGAAGCAGTTCCCTATAATGAATGTAAGCAACGGTTGTGGCTGGTAGATCCTACCCTTTTCTTCCCTAGCCCCACCCCACCCCCCAAGGTTGAAGTGGGATGGTAAGTCTCAGGAAGTGGAGTTGTGGCTGGTAGATCCTACCCTTTTCTTCCCTAGTCCCACCCCACCCCCAAGGTTGAAGTGGGATGGAAAGTCTCAGGAAGTGGAGTAGCGGTTCCCTATAATGAATGTAAGCAACAGTTGTGGCTGATAGATCCTACCCTTTTCTTCCCTAGCCCCCCCACACCCCCCAAGGTTGAAGTGGGATGGTAAGTCTCAGGAAGTGGAGTAGCGGTTGTGGTTCCCTATTCACTAAGTGATTGGCTTTCCATATTCTTACTGCCGCAAGTGATTGGTTTCGAAGAGTCTTACTGCCGCAAGTACCCTCTGGTAAACTAACATAGCTATCGAAAATCACCATTTTTGATGGGTAAATCCACTATAAATGGCAACTTTCAATAGCTATGTTAGTTTACCAGAGGGTAACTGAAACTTACTGCCGCAAGTGATTTTTATCTTACTGCCGCAAGTAATTTTTATCTTACTGCCGCAAGTGATTGAATCTTACTGCCGCAAGTGACTGGTCACCCCCGCTCGCCCCCCCGCTCGCTCGTGCGGGCGACGTTCGCCCGCATGTTCGCCCCTACGTTCGCCCCTACGTTCGCCCCCCCGCTAACCCCTTGCGCGGTTTTTAACATATCCACGGCAGCGAGGTTTTGAGTTTAGCTAATAGATAGATACATAGATAGATAGATAGATAGTTAGATAGATAGATAGATAGATAGATAGAGAGAGAGAGAGATAGATAGATAGATAGATAGATAGATAGATAAAATAGATAGATAAAATAGATAGATAAGATAGATAAGATAGATAAGATAGATAATAAAGATAAGATAGATAACATAGGTAACATAGATATCATAGGTAGATAAGATAGATTAGATTTGAGTAGATTAGATTAGATTAAGATTAGATTAAGATTAGATAGATAGATAGATAGATAGAGACTAGATTGGTAGATTTGATAGATTTGATAGATTTGGCAGATTAGATTGTTAGATCGATCGATCGATCGATATCTAAAAATGTGTGTGGGGGTGCTCAATGAAACCTGCTCTACGGCCGCTCCCCAACATGTGCCCCAGCCAGGCGAGACGACCTTGGAGGCCCTGGAACATGTAGGGAAGTCTTGGAATGACTTTATGAAAAATTGTTGGTTGTGATTTTGTAAAATCTGTTCGACTTTTCCTGGGACCACCTCAACTGATCTTAGTATTTTCGGATGAGTTGAAACCATTTGAACCAATTATCCAACGTGCTGAAGCATTATCAATGAAGTTTATGCACTGAAGAAACTGATGGACACGGCTGAAGTTGTTTGGTCTAGGTCTAGTGTTTTAACGAACCAAAATTGAGGTGAAACATTTAAACAATTCAAACAGTATGTCAGGGCGGACTTTGCTGCGTGGTGCGTCATTGCCGTCACTAACGGCGAAACCACGGAGCCGGATGAGCCGGATGAGCCGACAACGCTCTTTTGTGCATAGATTTGCCTAAGAATTTTCTGCAAGAGTTTTTTTGTGTCACCTCATGTCACCTCCAGAAATCGTTGAAGGGACATGAGAAGTCGAAATAGGCTCGAAGCATCTCGAAGCACCACAGGCAGAAGAAAATCACAAAGATGTTGAAACATGTTGAAGCAAGTGCAGTGCAATTGCAGACCGCATCGTGCTCAACTTGTGAAGGCACTGCAAGTCTTGCAAAATCATGCAAGTGTTGTATGGTATAGGTAGATCTGGGTTTGTTTGTGTTCTGGTTCAAAAATCAAGAACATAAGAAACGTTGAAATCCCGAAATGCAGTGTCAAGGGTGGCTGAAGACATTTTGCAACATGAACAAATGGCGCATACAGCATACAGAACTCTACTGACAGAAAATATGGAGCTGACCGTCGACAATGGATCCGTAATTCAGTACAGAGAGCGCGTGCGAGTGGACCAATTTAGAAACATGCAAGCTATTTGTTCTATTAGATGGGCTGCACTTGATTGTTTGCCGATCTCTGTTTTTGTTCTTGTAGCTCATGCAATTCATGCGCAAAAAACAATGAGCCACAATTGTAAACATTCTGGTTTCTTCAACATTGTTCTTCACATGTTGCCATGGAAAGCGTCAGGGGCAAACCTAGCGGAGGTAGGGCCCCTCGATCCCGATTGTTTCGGCTTTCGGCAGCGGAGATTTGCTTGTCAAGAAACTCTGTTTTAGATGAGGTTTATGATTTGGCCACACTGGGTGACAGGGGAGTTTGTTTACTTCAAAGAGAAGATCCACAGCCACAGTGTCTGAAGATTAAGTCAAACTGCAACCAGTAGCAGGGAAACAGGCGTCAGCCGTGGCAAGTCCGGGAAATGTGAGGCAATTCCTGCAAGTGGCGAGGGCATGTGCCGAAAGGCAGCTGAAATGTCCACCAGTGGTGGGTCACAATTGCTCGTTGCAGAACGTTTCATGGTGATTCTTGCAGTATAGAGTGGCCAAAGCATGGCCTTTTCGCATCTTTTTACAACTTTTCACCGTAGGATGGTTCTCGAAACCATACTCAATGCTCATAGCCGAACATTGTGTAATTAGCCAGTTTTCTAGATCACATGGTTGTTGTTGTTGTTGTGGTGGTGGTGGTGGTGGTGGTTGTTGTTGTTGTTGTTGTGGTGGTGGTGGTGGTAGTGGTTGTTGTTGTTGCTGTTGTTGTTGTTGTTGTGGTGGTGGTTGTGGTTGTGGTGGTGGTTGTGGTTGTTGTTGTTGTTGTTGTTGCTGTTGTTGTTGTTGTTGTTGTTGTGGTTGTGGTTGTGGTTGTTGTTGTTGTTGTTGTTGTTGTTGTTGTTGTTGTGGTTGTTGTTGTTGTTGTGGTGGTGGTGGTGGTGGTTGTGGTTGTGGTTGTTGTTGTTGTTGTTGTTGTTGTTGTTGTTGTGGTTGTGGTTGTTGTGGTTGTGGTTGTGGTTGTTGTTGTTGTCGTTGTTGCTGTTGTTGTTGTTGTGGTGGTGGTGGTGGTGGTTGTGGTTGTTGTTGTTGTTGTTGTTGTTGTTGCTGTTGTTGTTGTTGTGGTTGTGGTTGTTGTTGTTGTTGTTGTTGTTGTGGTTGTTGTTGTGGTTGTGGTGGTGGTGGTGGTGGTGTGGCGGTTGTGGTTGTGGTTTTGTTGTTGTTGTTGTTGTTGTTGTTGTTGTTGTTGTTGTTGTTGATGTTGTTGTTGTTGTTCTTGTCGTTGTTGTCGTTGTTGTCGTTGTCGTTGTCGTTGTGGTTGTGGTTGTGGTTGTGGTGGTTGTTGTTGTTGTTGTGGTTGTGGTTGTGGTTGTTGTTGTTGTTGCTGTTGTTGTGGTTGTTGTTGTTGTTGTTGTTGTTGTTGTTGTTGTTGTTGTTGTTGTTGTGAATGTTGTTATGAGTGTTGTTATGAGTGTTTGGGTTTTTTATCGCTCGAAACTTGTGAGGCCTGCTGCTGACAGCCTTGACCTTGGGCGGGACATGTTTCTCCGTCCAAGACCTGGCGCCAACCTCAGGGCGAATTTGGTCCTTTACACGGCATTACACGGCGAAAACATCAACATAATATCATATATCAATATGTCAATATGTATGAATATGATCAAGATCATGTGGAAAGAGATATAACATGCGTAACATGATGTAACAATAACCTGTCCTGTTTGAGATGGCCGCCAGACTTTGAGCAATTTTATTGCATTGCATTCTGAGGATGATCAGGAGTTGTGGCATGTTGTGGCCATTTGGGTTCAAAAGTGTCCGCCACCTTATCTCGTACCTTACTCTCCATGTCACTTTCAAAGTTGCTGTTCTTCATACATCAGGTTCTTGGCATTTCCGACTGCGATGACTGTGGACCAGCAAGATCCCAGCAACTCTTGCAAACTTCGGTGCATAGTCTGCGTAGTTCGCCTATTTTTCGTTTTGATGAGGACAAAATGTGGGGCTTAGACAAGAACAAGAACTCATCGTGGCGCGTGGTTCGCAAAGAGAAAGACTGCATTTTGAGATTTCCTGCTTTCAACTCATCCGGAGAACTGGAGTCTCGGTTTTCACTCGGCGTTTGTTTGAGACCTTGGTCGTCGGAACGTTGGCGGGTGGACTTGGCTTTGCCAGCAGGTTATGGGAGAACACATCCAGGTGCGAATCCATCCTTCGTTCCGTTGCCGGAAACGTTGAAGACCAGCTTTCCCTTCGGCAAATGGTTCGCAGTAAGTCGCTTTGGATGGGCCAGATGTCCTGGGATGCAAGATTTTGACCATCGACCCGAAGTGGAATATTTGAGGAATCTCTGGTGCTCCGGGTCTTATGCAGCTGTCTTAGGCTCCGATTTTAATGTCCAAGCAGTGTCCAAAATCGAACTGGAGGGCGGTGATTGGGCCAATGCTATCTCTGATGTCCGACTCTGGCCTTCAGGTGAAGATCTGATTGTAACTCAAAATTGATCAGATTGCGATGTTAGTTGCTTTGGGCCTTTTAGATCGCGGGATGTCAAAGTCTGCTTGTTTTGATTTTTCTTGTTGTGACTCGACCCGTCTCAGGTAAGTTTTGTGCCGTATTTCTTCTATGACACTCATCATGCACTTGTGGCAAAGCTGTACGCGAGTAGCGTGGATGGGAATCTGAAAGTTTGGGTGGACAGAAGGGAAGTCAGGCGAGCAGAGAGTTGCAAGCACCCGCAAGATTATGCTAAGACACTTGTACTCCAGATATTGGCAGCAAGTTTGCGGTTTGCGGTGTTTGTTTAAAGAAAACATGTGTCTTTGTGTTTTGATGTTTTACTCGTTGCTACAAAGGGAGTTGTGTCAGCAAGCAACGGGACGATGATAAAGAACTGAGGAAAAACTTTGGGTTTCTCCGATCCGGATTAGATATCTTCGTTCTGGACAAGATCTTCCCTACAGCTGTGAGTTTGGTGAAGCTTGGCATGGAAGACAATTCAATATTACTACAATGTCTGAATGTGTATCAAATTTGTTTAGCATTGCAAGTACATTGCTCGCATGCATGTGCTGCACCTGATTGTACTGATTCATGCCCATACACAGGATTATACAGGCATGCAATGACATTTGCTAAACAGTTGCATGTTTTCTACAAGTCACAGGCTTATATAGCGACACACACATATATATATAATCTCATATAATCACACACAAATATAAACAGTATATATTAAGTTAAATAACAAGACATGATACAATACAAGATAACATGAGATAGCACATGGCAATTTTCCCAGCCATTTGGTGGACACCTGCCCAGTGTGCCACAAGGAATTTGTCGGTCCTAGACGGCGCGTTGGAGCCGGAGATGCTCCGAAGCAATCATACCCACAGCTACGGAACGACACATGTGGCCCCATTCTGCATGGAATCTGTGGTTACTGGCAGTGAATCAAACTATTCTCCATGGCACGGCTGCAACTTGGCAGAAATGAATTGAAATGGAATGTGGGAAACATTGTGAAATATATTTCCCCACATCTTTGTGTGGGGTTCTTGTTTTTGATTCTGTATCCCGGGCTTCTCCTCCTCCTCCCGCCGCCTCCGTAACACAACACACACAAACTTAACATACAATAATTTCACACACACAAACTTAACAGACAATAACTTCACACACACAAACTTAACATACAATAATTTCACACACACAAACTTCACATACAATAATTTCACACACACACTTAACACACACAAACTTAACACACACAAACTTAACAGACAATAACTTCACACACACAAACTTAACATACAATAATTTCACACACACAAACTTAACATACACAAACTTAACACACACAAACTTAACAGACAATAACTTCACACACACAAACTTAACATACAATAATTTCACACACACAAACTTAACATACACAAACTTAACACACACAAACTTCACACACACACAAACTTAACAGACAATAACTTCACACACACAAACTTAACAGACAATAACTTCACACACACAAACTTAATATACAATAATTTCACACACACAAACTTCACATACACAAACTTAACAGACAATCACTTCACACACACACACACCGTCGTTTTGCGTGGCAGGCGTGGTACACATGGCACTGGGTGGCGCACTTGGTGACATCCACCCTCGTTTCACGTGGCAGGCGTGGCACAAAACTCGCATCCACCGTCGTTTTGCGTGGCAGGCGTGGCACTCATGGTACTGGATGGCGCGCTTGGTCCGGATTTGTCGCCTGTGACGCCGCGGCACTTTGCGTGGCAGGCGTGGCACTTGGTGACATCCACCCTCGTTTCACGTGGCAGGCGTGGCACAAGACTCGCATCCACCGTCGTTTTGCGTGGCAGGCGTGGCACTCATGGTACTGGGTGGCGCGCTTGGTCCGGATTTGTCGGTCCTGTGACGGCGCGGCACTTTCGTGGCGTAGGCGTGGCACTTGGTGACATCCGCGCTTCGTTTCAGCATTGGTCGGCCGTGGCACAACTTCGCATCCACTCCCGTCGTTTTGCGTGGGCGGCTTGGCACTCATAGGTACTGGCTGGCGCGCTTAGTCCAGGATTTGTCGCCTTTGCACGCCTGCGGCCTTTGCTGCAGGCTTGGCACTTGGTGACGATCCATCCTCTCGTTTTCACGTGGCAGGCGTGGCCCAAACTCGCATCCACCGTCGTTTTGCGTGGCAGGCGTGGCACTCATGGTACTGGCTGGCGCGCTTGGTCCGGATTTGTCGCCTGTGACGCCGCGGCACTTTGCGTGGCAGGCGTGGCACTTGGTGACATCCACCTTCGTTTCACGTGGCATGCGTGGCACACACTCGCATCCACCGTCGTTTTGCTTGGCAGGCGTGGCACTCATGGTACTGGGTGGCGCG